AAAATAGAAGAAAAGAGAATTTTGAAAACAAACAATGTTCCTTTCATTGGTATTTCAAATAAGATTTAATAAAGCATTGCATGCATAAAACCAGAACAGAACATTCTTTAAAAGAATACTTGGAAATTTACAAATATAACAGAAAATAAAGTTCAACAGAAACACTGGAAGAATAGGTTATGGCAAGGTCTCAAATGTAAAACAAAAACACAAAGAACGGAAAAGAGACAATAAAATATAGATCTATGCAGTGAATGCAAAATCCAATGAATGCAGACTCCAGAAAGAGAGAATCAAAGAAACAAGAGAAGAAATTATCAAAGAAATAACATAATTTCTTAGAGTTGACTGGCGACAGGATTGAAAGTATCTTTAAATAATGACCAAGTTAAAATGAAAAAGAACCTCCCTATAAAGTAGAGCACAGGGAATATAGTCAAAATGGTGTAATAACTATGCATGGTGCCAGGAGGGCACTGGGAATATCAGGGGGATCACCTTGTAAAGTATATGATTGTCTAACCACTACGCTGTACACCTGAAACTAATACAGAATGATACTGAATATAAACTGTATTTAAAAAATAGAATTGAAAAAATGAACCTCCCTAGACCCATCACTGAAATTTTTGTTTTATTTTAGAACTGAATATACCACAGTTTGCCTATCTACTCATCATTTGAGGGACACTTGGGTTGTTTCCATATTTTGGGTATTATAAATGATAAATAATGCTGCTATGAACATTCATATACAAGTGTCCGTGTGTGTATATATGATTCATTTTTACTGGATATATATGTAGGAGTGGAATTGTTGGGTCCTACGGTAATTGAGTGCTTATCTATTGAACTGTCAGACTATTTTACAAAAGGGCTGCACTATTTTACATCCCCACAGGCAGTGTGTAAAGGTTCCAATTTCTCCACATTCTCACCAATACTTTTTTTTTTTCTTATAGCCACCTTAGCTAATGTAAAGTGGTATCTTGTGTTTTGGTTTTATTTTACCTAAAGGCCATTGATGTTGAGCATATTTCCATTTGCTTATTGGCCACTTGGAAAAATGTCTATTCAGACTTGTTGCCCATTTTTTATTCCTTTAAAATATACATAACATAAAATTTACCCTTTGAACTATATTTAAGTGGCACTAAGTAAATTAAGCAATTAATTGCTAATATGGAATTGATGGCAAGAGTGTCAGTTTGAGTCAGACGAATCTGTGTTTGCACTGAGTTTTTTACATGTACAGCTGGATAGATCAATACAAGCTCAGAACCACCCTGAGCCTCAGTTTTATCATCAGAAAATATAACGCAATTAGGCCTATGAGAGAATTAAATAAAATAATGTGAATACAAAAGCATAGAGCAGTTAGTAAATTTACCTTGTGCTCTTAGGTAATATAACATGATTTACATTGTATTATTTTTCCTTAAAAAGTAAATTTTAGTTATTTAGGAGATTAAAGCAGTGAGATTTTTAAAAGTTACTAAATTCTAGGAGATTTTAATCATTAGTAGAATCTTTGAAATTACATTCCTTTCCACTCTTCAAATATTCCTGCTATATTCCAAAAACTGATTTATTCCTAATTGTGTTCTCTGTGTTAAGCCCTAGTAATAAACTAAACATCTTCAGGGCTAGTGTTGCCTAAAGAATAACTTATAATATTATGAAATTAAATATTTGCAGAGGTTAAAAAAATCCATCTTACAAATAAGGGCATTCACACCCACTGTAGGTATTTCAAAAATTCTTCATAGTTCTTTAATGTATTAGAACCTGAAAACAACTGGTGCTATTTCAGTCTAATTATATGAATGTCTGTCAGATGACCTGTATGGCCTCAGGATCACCTTCAGGGAGTATATGTGAAACAGTGGGGTAGCACGTCGTCTATCAACATTCACTGGTCCAACCTACATCCACTGAGTGGTTCCTTGGTGTCAGGTATTTTCTGGAAAGATCATTTGGCTCAGGTTCAAACTGCATTTTGCTGAGCTGGCCCTAATCATTTCCCCACCCTGGTAAACACTTAGGAACCATTATCATGTGGTTCATATGGGAGATTTCAGAGCTTAACATGTTGAAGAGAAAGTGTTTTATCTTCTTTTAAAGCAGGAAATCCCTATTAAATAAGCTTAAGGCAAAAAAACCCCAAAAAACGGATAAACCCCGAAACCAGGGGTGGGGAACGTCCGGCCCATGGGCTGGATACGGCCCATGAATCATTTGGTCTGGCCCTGCCAAGGCAACCACAGGCGGAACTCGAAATTCAATAAATCTAGGAGCTTTTTTCATAGCTAATTTTTAAGTTGATAGTTTTGTATGGCCCGTGAATGATGTTATAAATATCCAAATGGTCCTTAGCAGAAAAAAGGTTCCCCACCCCTGTTTTAAAGAGACAGTAAGATGGTTATTCCCTGTATTAATATATACCTATATAGTGAAGCTTTTCAAGTTTCATTTAGATATTTAGATATTTTTGACAAAAAACTCTCATTAAAAAAACCACACTCACATTTAAGAATTTTCTCCTCCTTCCTCTGTCTCCTAGTCGCCTATTTCCAGGTTTTGAATTCTGCCTATTTTCCCTGGCTTTGCATCTGCAGGCGGCCCTGCCTGGGCTCTCCCCGTCCACCACAAGATCTAGTTAATGGCCATTCATCTTCCAGGCGTTAGCGCAAATGTTGCTTTCCCAGCACTATTTACAATGTCCAAGATGTGGAAATGACCTAAGCGTCCATCCTCAGATGAACAGATAAAGAAGGTGTGGCATATATACAACAAATTATCATTCAGCCTTTAAAATAGGAGGGAATCCTGCCATTTGTGGCACCAAGGATGGAACCTGAGGGCACTGTGCGGAGTAAAGGAAGTCAGACAGAGAAACACAAATACTGCGTGATCTCACTTATATGGGGAATCTAAGAACAACAACAAAACTCAGGAAGAAAAGGATCAGATTTATAGAGGCTGGGGAGAAGCAGAATTGGAGGAAGGTGGTCAAAGGCACAAACTTCCACCTATAAGATAAATAAGCACTAGGGATGCAGTGTACAACATTATGGTTAACACTGCTGTATGATATATATAAAAGTTGTTAAGAGAATAAATCTTAAAAGCACCACAAGAAAAAATATATTTTTTCTTTTTTTTTATGTCCACATGAGATGACAGATATTAACTAAATTTACTGAAGTAATTATTTCATAATATATGTAAGTCAAATCATTATGATATACACCTTAAACTTATACAGTACTGTATGTCAATTATATCTCAATAAAACTGGAGGGGGGAATGTTTTACTGTCTTTATCTGCTCATCCCCAACCCACACACTAAGCTCTTAGCATACTGGGTTTCTTTCTTTCACAACATGTAGTTTAAAATTATAATATTATTTCCATTGTAAGTTGGTTAGTGATTATCTTCCCACTAAACTGTACACACCAGGAGTTTCTGTTTTTCTGAGCATTATAGCCTCAGGGCCTGGCACAGTGACTGGCATAAAGTATCAATAAATGGTCTCTGGATAAATTAAATGGATTAATGAATGAATTTTAAAACAAACTATTTTAGAGAGAATAAAGGAGTTCTTTCCATTCTGCTTTCAAAGCAGCCACTCCTCTATGACATGCAAAATAATAACTAATATTTATTGAAACTTTACTATGTTGTATGTACCATCTTCTTTAATCCCCAAACAACCCTATGAGGTAAGTTCTATTTACTTTATTTTACAGGAAAGGAAACAGAGACACTGAACACTGAAGTAAAATCTTAATGAATGTAAGAGTATGTGTCTCAGGGGTTTGCACATAAATGAATGGACACCATTAGAATAAATTATTAGCTACTCTTTAATGAAATCCTACTTTACTATCTTGCATATAGCAGGAGGAGTCCAGCAAACATCTGTAATGGGTAAAACACAGCCCTTGAACTCAGAGCGCTCGTCACAATAAATCAAACAATAAAATGTCCTGAACGATATTTGTTAAAGGGAAGTTTGGAAAAAGAAGGGCCCAGAGCAGGGTCTTCGTTGGTGTGGAGGAGTGTGTAGAGGTAGAAGTAAATAATAAAGGCATGACTGAGACCCAGGGACAGAAAAAATTGGATATAAAAGTTGGTAACAGATTGTAGAGAGAATCTGTTGATTACTAGCTTAGAAGGACTGCACTTTACGTTGGAGCTAAAGGGAACCACTGAAGACTTTTAAGTGATGAATGATGAAAATGCCATTACTGAGGCGCATAACAACGTCCATATGATTATGGTTTGAACATCATGTAGATATTCTGACATGAAAACGAAATCCCTATTTTCTCAGTTTTACGGGTGGAACACCAATCTTTCTTCAAGGGAAATTCTGAGAGTTAATAAAATATCCACTTACCTCTGGGGCTTTCTGAGAAATTCTACTATAGATATAGGTACAAATAATTTTATTATAGGAACTAATTCCTTCATTAAGTACTTGAGCTTGGAAAGAACTATTTGCATAAGTATAAGTTTACTTATTATAATTGCATTTTTCAAATTGCAGTGTTTAAGGACAGGATTATTTATATAGTTTTTGAATTGATTTAAATAATTATGGAGATAATTATAGGTATTAAAAATACTTATTCTAGCCCTTTGCCTAAGGACAATCAATTTATACCAAAAAAGTGTATCCAAATATCTGTTCTCCATCAGATTTGATCCTTAACATTCTAACATTAGTTTTATTACACAGAACTACGACACAGAAAAAGATATATATTAACTTCCATATGAAAAACTACCTATTGAGTTTTGTATCCCCCAGTTCCAAATCCTTATATCCTGCTACTCTTGAAAACATATAGTACAGTAAACAGACTCATATTAAAATGAATTGAATAAAAAAGAACTTTTAAACCTTAAAAATGTTTAAAGCTCTAGAAGGCATATGACATCTAAAATGCAATCTTATATATTTTGGGTTAAGAAAATTGAAAAAAGGACCTTTTGAAAATTCAGTCCTTGTGCCCAGGAACAATTCTTGGGGTTTGGAACATCATCCCAAAACAGCTTCTTCATTCTACAAAGGACAATCACAGGGCATTAGAATCAGAGAGGAACATTTCTATCAAAAATGCTAACAACGAATGTATCAACTAGGAATTGATCCCCCAGCGCTATGCCTCAGGAGGGTCAGATTCATTTTCAGATGCTACCACATGAAGATTTCCACCAATGAGCAGTCTAGAACAAAAATAATAATATTATTATTTTTAATAATAAAAATAGCCAACACTCATTGAAAACTGTGTGCCAGGCACTCTGCATAGGTTATTCTCAGAAAAAATAAAATATTAAAAATGGTCATCAAGTGAGTTTCAGAAACAATTCTACTCGATACGGCCCCATCAGCTCACTTGACTGAAAGGTAAATTCTGATTCTAAAATTGATTCTCCCTTTTTTTTTGCCAGAAGACAAAAGTTTCTGCAGAAATTCATTCTGTGAAATACTCATTGGTCCAGATCTCTCAGCACAGAGCCACACGGCACCCACAGGGCCACGAGAAAGTCAAGGCCATTTGCCAAAGCAGACTGGCTAGAGCCAGCAGTGCTGATTTTGAGCAGAGTGCTTACTCATTATAAGTGAACTGACTGCTCCAGGGAAATTTTCACCACTCAAAGTCCTCAACCCAAATTGCACAACTCTGAGAGCCATTTTGCCACCTCCAACAACATACAGCCTAAGATTTCCTAGAATAGGCTTGTTATTTCCTGCATGTATTTACCCAGAAAAATTTATTTCTTCCATGAGATTTATGTTGTGCTAGAAAAACAGATTTAGCTATCTGAAAACAGGCCTTTTGTTTTTATGCCATCTTAGTCGTACAAAAAAATATTTGGGATATAATATTTCTTATTTGTATTTTAAATCAAGGTTTAAATATGCTGAAGGTTCATACCTTTGATGTAATATTAGCAATGCTCCAAGCAGCAAGGTTAATGAGGATATAATTATTGGCACAATTACATATAGACCTGCATCAGTCTGGTGTTTTTCAATATCATCTGAAAAGAAATGCAAGTCACACAATTCAGAAGCCTGAGGAAAAAATTACTTTCTGTATCAAAAATTATAATAGACTTTTTCCTAATTTCATCCTAAATCTGTGTTACCTCTAAAATATAAAAATAAAAAAGAGGGAGATAAAAGTATAGTTATGATCCCACTAATAAAATAATTACTGTGTTCAGAATTATGCTTATTATAATTTAGCAAAATACTTTTTTCAGAATTAGTTGTCAATTCTCTCCCTCTGATCAGTTTTCTATTATATGAGTTAAAGTGCCATTTAAAGTTGTTATGATGACTTTCTGTCCCCGCATCTGCTTCTAAAGAAGCCAATCTACAGCACTAACCAACCTCTAGCTTGTTCACTCCAGACACACTGACTTCTTTGCGGTTTCTTGAATCACCAAGCATGCTCATTCACCAGTACCAAGCACTGCTTTGTACTTGCTGTCTTTTTGCTGAAATGCTCTTCCCCTTTGTATTTGCAGGGCTCTACTCAAATATCATCTGCCCAAAGAAAAAGACCAATTTTGGCCATTCTAACTACACCACCACATTTTAAGTCTGTCCTTTTCATCTTACTTTTATTTTGCTTCATGACACTCCTTCTATCTGACATTATACATGACTTTTTGTCTGCCACTCCTGTTGGAGCGCTGGCGGCTAAGCTCCATGGGGCAGAGAATGATGTTCCCTGTCCAATCCGCAGTGCCTAGAAGAGTGCTCAATCCATATTTGTTCAATAATACAGAAGTGAGTTTTTTCAATTATTTTAATTCTAAAACCAGGTAAAATATTTCTCTCTTGAACCTTCATGATTGGTGTGCTTGGATTTGAAGACAATTCAAAAAGTAATAATAAAATGGGCATATGCCAAATATGGGAAGATGAATCGGAAATATGAGAGGCCCCGTCTATGACAATCTCTCCAGTCTTATTTTCAGAGGAAAAAATATTTCCTTTAGAAGACTAATTAAAATTTATGGACTCACAAGTATATGCCCCCTAACATATTCTTTGGGGAAGGCGCATTTATATACATTATATAAAAGTGTACAGAAAATTAATATATTTCTAATTAGTCTTTATGAAGATGTATTTTATTGTATAGCTGTGTATTTCCCTTTATTTTGTTTATATCAACTTTTTACCCAACTTGAGACTGAAAATTTAACTTGCAAATACAAGAATTCAATACCATGCCTAACCATTCCCCTTCTTACCACCACCTTGGAACCACAGACCCTGACTGCATGCACCCCCAACACATAAGCCTCTGGACTCTTCCATATTTCATCAGGAGAGAAGAGCCAGACAGCAACATTACTGCTACACAGGAAACCACCATCTCTATAAAAAGAAGCTAAAAGCAAAAGTCTTACCTTGCAAAAAACTATTAATTATCTTTGGCTTCCCCACTCCTTCCATAAATATTGGGTAAAGACTGAATTGATATTTCTCAATAGGGATAAAATGATCTGAGGAGAAAAACATATTAGAGGGTCATTCTTACTGAATCAATACAAGTGAGTGAAATCTATGTAAAAAAAAAATAAAAATTTAAGTGCCCCTCCTATATTTCCAAACACAGAAATTAGTTGTTATTGATGGATTGAAACTGAAAATTAAGGGAGTTTCAAAAACAACCTAAGCACTCCAAATTATCCTGATAATTACAATAATTTTATAAATAATACTTTTAAAATCATACACAGAGATAGGAGATAGCAAGTTATCATAGGCATGTTCCCATTATAGCCACTTTGTCCAAGTTCAAGGTATATGAGTTTTTATTTCCCTGTCCAGGGCAATATGCTCTACCTCCTCACCTCTATCTTCAAAGCGAGCAATATTCACTTTACATAGGAATTTAGCTAATTCAGTTTCCCCACCCAAGGCAGCTGGAATACTAAAGTCCTGGGAAATCCTACATTAAAAAGACAGGGGTGGTAACCAGGAATGTCCTTGCAATATCCAGGAGTCTAGATTTATGGAGGACAACCATCTCCACAGCAAAGCTCCAAATGAATCTATCAAGGACTATTAATATACAAAAATTATTTCACAAGAGATAAATCTCTTTGAAGCCTGAAGTCCACATGGTTTAAAGAAAAGCAGAGAGAGTAACAACCTGGACAACACTGGTAATGAAATGAATTCAGTTCTCTATCAATAATTAGTTTCTATTTACCCTAATGCTAAATTCTAGATCTTTGAAATAAAATAAAAGTATGAGTCTATGGGATGATATTACATAATAAGATCATGGCAATCCTTAGCTTCCCTATACTTAAACCTAACTCAGAGTCGGAAATGCTGTATTGTGCGCTTAAACTTTGTAATCACTTCCTGCGGCAACTGGCCTACTTTTGGGGGTCTGCACTGCCTACGTCACCAAGCACTAGATCCTCGCACCTTCAGCATGGCACTCTCACTCTTTGCTAGTGGAATTATAAGGTGGTACACAATCTGGGAGAACTTGGCAACAGACATCAAAAGCCATTTCAAAGTGGTTTAAAGATAAAGGTACAGCTGCAAGCAACAAACACTTGTTCTCAAGCCCAGCCAGCACGGCTCAGCGGTTGAGCATCGACCTAGGATCCAGGAGATCACGGTCTGATTCCGGGTCAGGGCACATGCCCAGGTTGGGGGTTCGATCCCCAGTAGGGGGCGTGCAGGAGACAGCCGATCAATGACTCTCATCACTGATGTTTCTGTCTCTCTCTCCCCCTCTCCCTTCCTCTCTGAAATCAATATGTGTGTGTGTGTGTGTGTGTGTGTGTGTGTGTATACATATATATATAAAGACTATTCTCAAATAAGTAACAGTTTAAGTTGATTTTGGAATAAAATGCAATATGGTCATGAAAAATAATGGATAAAGGGATTAGGGAGAAAACAGAAAGCTGTTTGTAATATATCAAAGGAACAAATCAGAAGAAAAGGGGTAGATGACCTGGTACGATGACAACTGTGTAAAATATTTAAATGAAGGAGGGTTGAATGAAATAGAATTAAATGTTTATGGTAAGGTGATAAAATTACCAGTTTTAAGATGGTAGTACCATCTATATTTTTGAAGTTTTTTGTAATTAACTGGCTCTGTTAATTGAATTAATAATCCATAGTATCATACTAATCCATAAGAGAAACTTATTAATAAGTATAGTAAACTTACCATGGATATAATACCTCTTAACAGATGAAGGGATCTTGCGCCATTTAATTTCATTGTCTTCATTAAGAATTTTCCACTCAAGAATAAAATACATCAGCTTGTAATCAGTAAGTGAGAGCATCCAAGAAAGAATCACACAACTGCTGTTTAAAGGATAAGCACTGAGTGACTGCACGATATTTACTGAGGGGGAAAGAAAGAAATTTATTTTTAAAAATCAAAATTAATGAAAATTTCCTAATACCCTTCAAGAACATGTTGCCTACTGGAAAAGGGGAGAAAGAGGAGAAGGCAGATATTTACACAAATAAATATAACACATGGCAATTATTTTTGTATTATAAAAGTCACATAAGCAGAAAGACGTGGGAATACATGCTATCAAGGAGAAACAAGGCGCCACCTAAAACGTAAAAAAGGGATTTTGGAAGATGGTCACACGGCGTCTCCACTGGAATTCTGCACAAGCCTATTAGCCACCCTTTCTAACTCCCTCCAAACGCTTCTCTCCCTCTGATGGCACTGCGCTTTCAGAGCACAGATCTGATCACTTTAACACCCTCCGCTCAGAGTCCCACTTGAAAACCTCCAGTGGATTTCCACACATGAAGACAGAACTCCAGCCTGCCTCCAAGGCCCCGAGGGCCACGCCTCGCCTGCCTCTTCGCCTGGGAGGAGCACGCTGGTCTTCCTGCAGGTCCCCTCCTGTGCCACAAGGACTTTTGCTCAGACTGTTCCTCTCAGGAGCCTGTGCTCTCCCCGCCTTTAGGGAAGCTCAATGCCCACGGCACTTCCGCAAGAAAGCTTCTCTGACCCTCAATACTGGGTCAGGTTCCTATTTTCTTTCTTTTATTCAATTACATTCCTTTCCTGGGACCACTTATATTTGTAAATAGGCTTCACTTGTAGGATTATTTCATTAGTGTCTGTTTCACCTACTGGACTCCATGAATGCTGAGACCATCATAGTTTTTCCTCAGGCTGGAATTCCCACTACCTGGCACAGTACAGACAGCCCTCAATAAATGTTTCTAGAGTATAATGATCGAAAATATTTTTAGTAAAACTGTGTGCAAAGGCCGTAGAACTTAAAAGAAGTTTCCTCTATCTGTACAAAAGTAACCAGAATATAAACCATGATATAAAATACCTTCAGAAAGGTAGAAAGCACTCTGAGATTTAAGAAAAGGATAGGACATATCTCATTAAAGTAATAAGCAAAGGTTTCATGGAGGAGATTGGCAGAAGTACAGAAAATGTGAATTTTCCATTAAAAACGTATACTTTGAATATACAATCTAGATTAGAAACCCCTATTGAAAGTGGTTCTTAATTCTCTGAATAATCAAATCTATCCAAATTCATTAAAGAGGGTTCATCACTCTCATTAAATGAAGTACAGGTTAATTTTCAAGTCTGAGCAATTACTTGCATCCATATAATATCTCATACTATCACATATATATATAATCCATACAACACATGTATATATACTGGTTTTTACATATTTATATATATATATATATATACACACACACATATGTGCGTGTGTGTGTATTTGTATATATGGAGAGAGAGAGAGATTGAGATTGATTTACCTACAACCTACATTGGTTCAAAAGTATTAGATTTATTAGTACATTCTCACTTATTATAACATCATTTCAACCATGTTCTACCACGAGACCCCAGGACCATATTATATAATCAGAGTACAATCTAGTTTGTTATTTTTCAGACAAAGAAGAGCTCAAGGTAAAACAGAGACGTTCGGATTCAGGGAATCACAGGCTTCTTGGAAGACCATGTAGAATGGGGGGAGATGGCGAAGATAAAATACTTCAAAGGGCACAGGTTTACGACCCTGTACGTTTTCTTACCTTTGCTCATAGGCCATGAGAATGTTAAATTAAAATTTGCAAAAGAGGCACCAACTGAATTGACAGCCAGAACTGTAACAGTGTGTGTTTGTTCTGTCCACTGGAAAGTGAATCTGGTGTGATTGCCCACATCTTCTGACCATGTTCCACTGCGGGAAGTGTGATGTTTTACCACATATGTTCTCACACTGCACAATGAGTCATTTTTCATCAGGGGCTGGAGTAAACATAAAAATTGATTAGTTTAAGGGTACAGTGCTTTTTATACCAACCGAGCTCGTGGAATTCTTATTCTACATTTCCCAGTGGGAGGCAGGGGTCAGACCAGAGGCAACGCCTCCTACTTCCAGGCTGAGGGATGGGGAGGGCGGGTGGAGAAGGGTCTGCCTCTGACCACAGGTTTGGTGAAGGTGTCAGTGAGGTGGGTATGGAACATAGGAAAGTTAATTTCCTCCTTCTGGATTTTTTTTTTTTTCCTTAGGATTCAAATAAATGAAGTATAAATACAAACAGGAAGTTTTTCTACCAAAAAGAAAGACTGGCAGAGAGTTGAGAGTTTCCTCATCTAAAAAGCCAAAATAAAGGATAACACCCTGGTTCTATAAAGAAGCAGGAAAGCTGAAAATTGTTAATCATCACATATATTAATCCCAGTAAAGCTGCCACTCATGTTCCCTTCCCCTGATATGCTGCCACCTCAAGTAACAGAGGCTGTCAGGAAAGTGTGCATGGCACCCCAGAATTTTAGTCCTATAGTTTAAAAAAATCATACCAGGTCACTGACAATTCCAGTGTAAAATACAGATTTAGCCCAATCTAGTCCTCCATTCTACAGAATACACTACTTCTCCCACCACCTTCACCTGTTTCAGGCAAGAATAAGTGCTGCCAATGCTCTGTAAATCCACAGAAAGCTTGACTCTATACAACAGACTAAACCAGTGCTTCTCAATTCCTCCCCCCACTCCCTCCCTCTTTCCCTCCTTCCCTCCCTCCCTTCCTTCTTTTGTCATTGAGATTCCTACAAGTCAGAAATATCAAAAAATAAACAGGAGTACATATACATCTATCCCTGCAGGGCTTGAAATAATCTGGATAAATGGCAAGTGAGATTCTTGTAACCACTGCAAGAATGAAATGTCTGAAAACTCATGCAAATTTCTCCTTTTGTTTTTAAAAATTTATGTCAGTTTTCAGATACAAATATTTACTTTTGTAACCATCAATTAAAAATAATGATAAACTTCCTTACTTTTTGGTACTACAAAGTAATACCAAATAGGCTAATAGGCTAATGTTGTATATTTCCTGCCCAGCCCCAAACCAGCCATTTTTCAAGGAACTTTAGTTTCTTTTATTGGAAAATGGTATTAGAAACAGACCTGAGTATGCTCCTTGCTCCTGGAGAGCCATTACTTCAAGGCCCTCTCAGCTTACAAATCAAGAAAATGCATGTGTGTATACGAACTCCTGCATTACGCATACCCATAAATACTTCTAAATGAATCCATCCTTAGCCATAATAAGCTAAACAGGAGCTCATACTGATGTCTCCAACTCTAATCCCTTACCACATGGGCCATTCTTGCCTTCTGTCCCTAGCTCCTCTACCACCAGTCCAACAGTGAGACACCTGGGTCCCACCACCACATCCATTTCCTTAACTGTTCAACTCCAGACAACATGTATAATAGTACAAGGATTGTTAGCCCAAGATAATTAATAATTCTATCAAACAGAACCCAGTGCACAGTGCCATTTCTTTTGTCTTTAGTTTTAAGAATCCACTCATTTACAGTTACTTAGGCCTGCACCTTTCTCTCGCACCTCCTTCGGTGAGGTTTTACATACACTTGTAATACACTTGATTCTTCTGTCCCAGTCTGGATTTCATCCCAGGATCCTCCAACCCCCTAAGTGATTTATTTTCAATTTGCATACGTTAAGGTTTGCTCTCTATACAGTTCTACAGGTTTTGACAAATGCAAATGTACTCAAAGCTATGTACCCACCATGGCAATATACAGACTAGTTTTACCACCATAAAAAAAAATCCCTTGTGTTTCACCCATTCAAACATTTCCTCAACCTTCTAGAAACCACTGATCTTTCTATCTTCTCTATATTTATGCCTTTTCCAGAATGTCATGTATGTGGAATCATTGTGTAGTCCTTTCAGATGGGCTTCTACCACTTAGCTACATGCATTTAAGACTCATCCATGTCTTTTCGTGGCTTTATAGCAATTTCTTTTTATCACTAAATAACATTCCACTGTATGAAAGCACCAGAGTTTGTCTATCCACTCATCTATAGAAGAATATCTTGGTTGCTTCCAGTTTCGGGTGATTATGAGTAAAGCTACTATGAACATGTATGTGCAAATTTTTATACAAACACAAATTTTCAAATCAGTTGGGTAAATACCTAATAGTACAATCCTGGGTCATATAGGAAGACTATGTTTAACTTTGCAAGAAACTACCAAACTATCTTAATTTTGTATTCCCAGCAGCAAGGAATAAAATTTCCTGTCACTTTGCGTCCTTGCCAACAATTTATTCTGAGAAGTGTAAAATGGCATCTCATTGCTGTTTTAATTTGCAATTTCCTAATGACAAATAATGTTTGCTGTGGACTAAATGTTTGTTTCTCCCCCAAAGTCTGACACCCCCCCCAAAAAAATGCATTCGCTTGTGATATTCAAATCATATGGGAGAGAGAACACTTTGAAAATTGTTAGGCTGAATATCCACTGTTTATGGAAATATCCATTGTTTATGTCATCATGCAAAAAGAATATCTCTTGTTTTAGATGTCCTTGAGGATGTGGAGGCCATGTTTACTATGCTTAGGATTAAATATAAACAGAATTCTTGAACTTGAAGGAACACTAGATGTCAACTACTGCAACCCTACTTTTACACAGGTGAGGCTAAAGAGTCCAGGTGACTCTGCCAACACAGTACTGACATAACTATAATATGTTAAGCTGAGAATAAAATTAAAGTCTCCTAACTCCATGCTGGTACGCCCTCCACTAGGGATCTTAGCTATCTGAGATCACCTCTCAAAATAGAAATGAAGTGTGGGACTGCAGAGCCTTAAAATGACAGGATTATGAACAATGAAGAATAACATAAAAAGCAGAAATACTTTCCAAAGTAAAGTGACATTTCTCTCTTTTTTAGTGATGTCTTCATTAATTATTCTCCAAAATTCAGGTCCTCTGATAGGAACTGCAAAACAACAAGGAGCCCAAGTTGTACATGTGTTCTCAGAAGGAATATTTTTCAGTCATATCTGAAACAAACACTTATGCACTGCTAAGGCACATTTACGAAATCTCTACAGACCTTTTATATCCATGACAACTGTGTAGGCCGGAGTGCTCCAATTACTCCAATACCCCAGTCCATCCAGCCTCCTGCAGCGCACCTGCGCGGCGTAGACAGCACACAGGTCTGGCACCGGGAGGCTGACGGATTTTGATTTTGCATCAGATACCTCATGCATCTGGAACGTAAAGCATTAGATTGATCATTACAAACACAGAGGTAGCTAAAGGGCCCTGAAGTGCATTTTAGTTTAAACCTTAACACTATTCCCAATTTAAGAAGGAACACTTCGTGTCTTCTGGCTCTGGAAATACTCATACTGGGCTGGGCTCGTGAGCACCTTCAAGTTAAAGACTGTCTTAGTCCTCTCGTTATTTCCTTCTTGTAACCAGATCTGGACTGGTCCACTTGCAACCTCACTGCCCAACCGCTCTCTTAACCCTACTATTACTCATCCCTGTCCACTAATCCTCTATCCATAAAAGCTTTTAAGAATTTTAACCTAGCAGTTAATGGGGCCTGCTGTAGAGAATCTCTGATAGTCAGTCTCCTCAATAAGCAGGTAAACAGCCACGTTCATTTCAGTTCAAATCCCCATGATCTAAGGATGTTTGTAGGTCTCTGCAGGCTGCCATCTGAAAACTGGCATGGCAACTCATCATACGCACACTTGCAACTATGGATATGATCTGGTTGTTTGATAAAAGCAGCTTCTTCCAAAACGCATTCCACTGAACACATGTATACTAAAAAATATAATTAGATGTTAGAGGAAAAAGGCTTTCTTGGTAAAATGAGTTTGAGAAACATCGGATGAAATGAAGTCACAAACGTTTCTTTCATGCAGGACCTCTCCCAATCTTTAATATGTAATAACTTACGACTCTACACTCGGAACATACAGTGATGCAGGGTTTCCTGTCTAGTCAGCCATGCAAGCCTTTTTTAAGGAACATTTTACAGAACCAATGTTCTATAAAAGCTCACTTTTGGAAATGATAGATTGCGGACATTTTATTCCTTTAAAGGGTTAAACTTAGGTCAATGTAACAAAAAATAGCTGAAGAATATAGAGGCTATACTAAATAAATAAATTTTATGATGATTAACTTTTATTCAATAAAATTCTTGAAAATTATAATAAATAACATTTAGTTACCTTCCATTGTACTTCTTTCCCATTTAAACCATAGCGAATCTGGAACTGAAGATTATTCTCTGGAAAAATTGGCTTTTTCCAAGATATTTTCAATAATCCAATTTTTGAAGTAATTTCTGCTTTCACACTGGATGGAGGCAATGGTTTCACTGGAAATTTAAAAACAATATATGTAACAGTAATAATGTTTAAAAACCGTTATAATGATGTTATGATCGCCATACCTTATATTTATAAATCAATATCTTCTTCAAATTTTACATTCCTTATCTCATTTGATCCCCTACAACCTTATGTAATAAATAAGGGATTATTTTGCAAATAGAGAGGTTGATTTTTTAAAAAATCGATACACTGCCCATGCCATTCTGTGTATAGTAAGACTGGATTAGAAACTGAGCCATTGGTTCTTCATGCAGAAGATGCCATATGCACACATGATAAACATCAATAGCAAACTCTGTTCCATGTAGAGCTTTAATTAAAAGCAAAAAACATGCACTGCATTCTTTTTCACATGTGTGAGTTTCAGACTCTTCTCCTACTATCTACTAATAAGTATATCTGAGTCAAGGTCAGATGTGGTCTTGCAGAATGAAGGCCTGATTCTCTAAAATCTAAGGAAAACAGGCTTTTAGGGGACGGAAATGGAGGCACAGGTGACTAGAATGGTAAGAAGATTTTTTTTTTTTTAATTTAAAAAGACAATATAGAATATAAATGTATTTGGAAACCAAAAGCCGCAATGCCCAAGCACAACAGTGTGAGCCTCTGAAGCTCCACACTTCATCGACAATAATACTTTAAACAGTTGATGACCAAAACATACCTGAACTTTTCCATTAGAACACAGTTTCTCATGACTGTTCAATTCTTCATATACCAAGAAGGCATTCCTCACCAACCAGTAAAGTGACATATTTTCACGTATTAAAAAGATAATTCCTCCTCAGGACAGCAAGTGCAGTATGAATGTGCACGAGACACGAAGATATTAAAATCTGTGACTGTACCTGACTGAACCACATGGATGTCATATGGATATATTCTATAAATATCCAGTTTGCAGAAAAGATGCTTTGAAATACTATAGTTTGTGTGGTCCTCACAATACTCACACTGAGACGTATGAGGAGGTGTCCACATTTATTGGGTGATAAAACAGTCAGAGAGCCCTCACGTGGCTAGCCCTAGTCTCTAACGCTGGTAAGAGGCAGAGCTGGCATTTGGATCCCAAAGTTTAATTTCCTCATTGTTTTCTAGAACTAAGTAGGCAATATAAGACCAATTTAAACTCCTTATTTAAGTACTGGAAAGAGTAGCATCAAGGTTAGTCAGATACAGAACTGAATACATGTTGCATTTGTTACACATTATATGTGAAGGTACATCTGTGCATGTTTGTGGGGTAGGGAGGTAGGAGGGCTCTTTGCTATCTTAGTACATTTAGTACCAAACAGGCATTGTCTACAGTACAATCATTTAACATGGAACCAAACTAAATTGTGTGTGTGTGTGTGTGTGTAAATTAATTAGGACTTTATGTTGAAAAAGAAATCTAAACATTATGAGCTTATCTCATATTTAACAAAATGCAGGTTTTAATTCTGATGTGTCCTTATTATTTGAAAGTATAATGAATCAAATAGTGGCTTTTGGCATAATTTCCCAACAAAATAGCATACGGCACCAAAATATGTTCTTTTACCTCTGCTGCACAATCGTAAATGGGTCATTTCTCAAAGATTCTGCAATAATAACATCAGAGGGATATATCAAATTTTCCCAGGGCTCTCTTAATCCTTTTAAATCAAAACGTCTTTTAAAAAGAGTATTTAAAATTTCATGATGGATATCATTTCTTGTCTATTTTCTTCATTTGACTTTAGCTATTTTCAATCCTGCTCCCTACACAGCCTCATAAATTAAAGCCTTGGGTTGTTACCATTCATATTATAAAATCCATAGAATATCTAAATTAAACTTTGATATTTAAAAACATCAAATGTTTCCAGAAATACATTGGGGGGGGGTATATACCAATTAGTGCATTATTTAGAATATTATTAAATTTCATTCCCAGTAACCAATATAATTCAACAAATAGTATGCTGAAAACATTCCTATTGCTAAAAAATTGTGCTACAAATAATTTAAAATAAAATCAAAATGGTAAAACTTTCTAATGCTGTCTTCTCAATTTCACTGTAAACAGAAAAAAATGTAAATCTAATATGATCAGAAAATGGTAAAATACAACAAGTACCGTGAATCAACCTAAATCCAAATCTGCTAACAGAAATGAAGACCCGACACGATTGAACGTACCCACAGAATCAGGAACGACACATGTCGGAGGCGAATCAAGGGAACCCAGCGAGTGACTGATCCTTAACCACATTGTGTAACCGGATAACAGAAAGATTGGCTGAAACACACATTCATAAAAACCACCTCTCTGCAAATGGCAATCTTTGGGTTCAGATGTGGGATGAATAGATGGAACATCAGAACAATAAAGGCTGCTCCTTGAAAGATACGAAAACAGTCAATTAATATGCAACATTGATGAAAGCAGTAAGATTTGAGAATTCTGCTCTGCTGTTTAAAAGGTACAGTTTTTGCTCCATCTGAAAATAGATGTCCTCATTAAACAGGTGTTTCTGAATTCCCAGCTACATCTCAGTCTTATATTTCCATGAAAGCAGGCAGTAACCCTTATTAAATATTTCATTAGACAATAAGTAGCGATGCAAATGAAATTAAATGACACTGCTCTAACAAGGAGCTAATGACCCAATTAGAGATAGAATCTATAACACTTTGAAAGCTAAGCTAATATTATACCTAAGTGATACGATTTTAAAAGTATAGATCAAAAGTAGTAATGGGCATCCCTGAGATGAAAAGGAAAATAAATACCTTACACTGTCAGCACAAATTAAATTCTACAACAAACTGAAAACATAGTCAATAGTAAATTACAGCATAATTACAGTATTGTAATATTTTCTAGTTCAAAGCAATATAATTTTAAGATACCAATTCTTGATTCATATATGAACCATAGAGTCAAGTATATCATTCATCTTCTCAGAGAAGAAAATAAAGAAAATATTTTATAAATGAGTTCCTACCAATACCCCACCTCAAAACATACAAAGCATTTCTCCTCTTTTTTGAAATAGGTCTTCTACCACTATTTGCTCTTAATATGGCATTTAAATGGCTAAAATAGCAGTTACTGTTTCCTAATTAAGTACATTCTACCTTCCTCTTTCAAGAAGAAAATCTATAAGAATACTGTGATGGTGACACTTCTACAGGAAATTTTTATCTCACCATACCCACAAAAAACAAAAACAGCAAAAATAATACATACCTGTGATATCTCAATTGCAAAGTACTCCCCACGAGTGATTGGATTGCATTAGTTGACCATCTGCAAGTCATTTTAGTTAAGTACCCATCAGTCTCACACAATATATTGATATTGACATCTATTTAAAACACATAAAAATATTAATATGTAGCAAAAACACCAACAAATTTTAAATGAAAATGAAAGTTCCTTACATCTTCAGTGGGACTCTACCACAGGGCCCATACGGTGCATTTCCCTTGCAGAACGCAACGGAGATGACCCCCGTGAGCTTACCGATCACATACAGCTCTGCGTAGCGGTGGTGGCACTCGTGCTCCTCGCAGCAGTACACTGCATCGTAGGTGAACTTCCCCCGAGGCCTGGTTGCGTTCAGGTTGGGAAGGCTGACTTTGCTGACGCGGTCCCCCACAACATTATACTGGCTTTCCGGAATTTTCTCAGCTAAATTCATCCACCAAACAATCTTTTCTGAGGGAACAATCTTGTTTTCATTTTTGTAGATGCAGTGAAAAGAAACATTAGAGCCAACACTTGTCAGAATTTTAGGGGGAAAGTATATGACATCTGTAACGAGGGAAGAAAATAGACAATCGGATGAAGAAAGAAAACATCACGCAAGCAAGCGACTGTGTAAACGTGACTCACAAAGCATTCAGGATCACGCCGCCAAAAATAAAACGCACGCACTGAGGGCCTGCAGCGCTGTCGCTGCCTGTCTGTGCAGCTACGTGGGCTCCCAAGAACTCTCAGTCTCAGATACTTGATCTTCCACCAATGTTAGAGATGACTTTAAAAATATAAAAACTCTCAAAATCAAGCATGCGAAGCAGAAAAAACTTTTACTGCATAATATGTAACATTCAAATAAAATTTAAATATTTGAAATTTACATCAAATAAATATATCCGATTTTTCAAAATGTAAGGCAAGGAGGCAGGTTTGATTTCTGGTCAGGGCACATACCCAGGTTGCGGGTTCGAGCCCCAGTCCAGGCTTGCAGGGGAGGCAACCAATCAATGTTTCTCTCTTCACATCGATGTTTCTCTCTCTCTCCCCCTCATTTCCAATTTCTTTAAAATGTAAGTTAAGGAAACACCAATACAAACAGTGTTCTGAATTTGTAAATTTGGAACTTTTATATTAACTATATACATATATTTTTTTCTTCTGCCCACCTCCACCTCCACCCATCCCCCCCCTCTACCCTCCTTAGCCTTCACCAAACTATTGTCCATGTCCATGGGATATGCATATATGTTCTTTAGCTTTTCCCTTCACCTTCTTTATCCAGACACCCCCATTAACTGTGTATTTTGAATAAGAAAGTAATTCAACAAGATACTGCTATGAACGCACACAAACCTGAGAGCTTGTATACAAGTTTTCATTAACAAATTAACTTTTTGAAAATTTAAGTAGAAAATTAATATTGTGTTCCTCTTTCTGATTCAGTGCCACAAAATTTAAGAGTCTTATAATATGCCATAGGCAATGTCAAAACCATATTTCTTTTTTAATAGAAGGTACCATCCATTACAAAACCTACCTTGTGTGGTAAAAATGAGAGGGGAGCTCCAGTCACTCCAGATTCCAGGGCCATCCAGTCTCTTGCCCCTCACGTGAACCTCATACGAAGACCCAGGAAGCACACTGTCTACTAGCAGAGATGTGGCTGAGACAATCTCATCAGCCTGTTAAATATTAATTGAAAACAGCAGAACATCAAGTCAATGTGGACCCTTTACCAAAACTGATCACATTAATCAAATTTTACGTAACCCGTGAGTCCAAGAAAACAATCGCAATGACAATAAACAAATATTTTTAACTGAATGATAACGAATATTGACTTTTCAAATCTTGAGATACATAGCCAGTGTTGGTGGGAAGCGTCGAGCTACTGCTGACAACTGGAAAGCACGTGGCTGAACAGAGAACTATTTTTCCCTAGAGGAAAACGCCACAGAAGGAAAGCATGAATAACTTTTAAGAACCTGAGCCTGATGATAAACTACAGTGAATCAAAATACAGCTTACAAAGTAGAAGGAAAATATTTAAGAGACCTAACTCTGCACACAACCACCACCAGCAACGAACAAATTTGGTTTTCTAATTAATAATATTATACGGTGTTGGCAAAACTGGACAGCCACATGCAACAGAATGAAACTAGACCACTAGCCCCTTTGATTGTATCTTCTTTGATTCACACTGTTACTCTTACCCTCGTTCCCTCTCCTGGCCTCCAGCCTCTCATCCAGCTCGGAACCTCTGAGTGGCTGTTTTCTCTCTGTGGAACCCAGTTCCCGCACATATCTACATCCATGTCCTTCAGATCCTTGCTCATATGTCACCCTCTCAATGAGATCTTCCCCTACCTCCATTTAATATCCTAACCCACCATCTCCCACCAGCACTCCCACACTCCTCTGCAGTCTACTGTCCCAACGTATCCTGACGCAAGCACAACCGTTCCTGGTATCTAGCAGGTGCTCCATAAAAACTTACTCAAAGAACGAAAAAAAGGATTTCATGCGCTTCACGGCGCAAATGCACGTACTGTATTGCATGTAAACAAGTATATTAAGCATTTTCAAAAAAATGATTAAATGTAACATCAGAAGATGCGTAGGTGAAAAATTTATAAAGGAATTCGAGTGTGTGTAGCTGGACTTCCTGCACCCCTTTAACTGTGTGTGTGTGTAAATAAGAGGAAGGGAGAAGAGAGGAGAAGGGGAGAGAAAAAAGGGAAGCGGAGAAAGATGAATCTAATACACACAGACGTTTTGTGGAAGCGGGACTTTCTCTAGCGCTAAATTCCGGGAGGAATTTGTCATGCTCCTCAATATATAACATAGATCCATATATAAGCAGCACCGAGTAACATCAAATAATTTTTCTAAAAGCATTTTACAGAAGATGCAGAAATGCTGTTCATGTGGTAATTTCCTATGCTGATCGTAAATGAAAGCCAGCGGTATCATATTAACTATAACCGGTTCCGCTCGACCAGGAGCAGGCACGTCTGTTTGTACGCGGCGAGCACTTCCGATGCGGCTCGGGCGGCTCTCACCTTCACTGTAGTGGCATCTCAGCTGTTCCTATAGTTATTAAAATATACTTACTTCTCTCACACTTGTAGAATTCTCTGAATATTTCACTTGATATTGACGTTGAAATGGTACCAGTGTTGAACTGAGCCAAGAAATCTTTAAATTACCACTGTCTGTGATTTCCATATGCAAACCTAATGGTGGATCCGGCTTCACTTAAGAAAAAAAAAAACACGTTTAAGTCAAGCAATTTTTGTGCTAATCATAGAATGAAGTCAAATTGAATTTTTAGCATATCCTTTCTTTCAACTACTTAAAAGGTGATCCTATTTAATGGCTAATAATATAACCAAAATGTTGGGTATGCTCCAAATCTATACAAAACTGAGTCAGTTAAATACTTTAAGTTAACACTTACTTAAATAAGTCACTGATCAAACTTTCAACAATAAACATAAATTAAAATAATAATAATACTACTAATAATAAAGACACATTACTATGGAAAAAATCTGGGGGATCTTTGTTCTCAAAATATGGGGCAATACTTATTTTTTCTCATGATCATATTTGTATGCAAGTTAACCCTTGTCTACTTCTTGTTTACTTCTGCCCACCATTATTTGTCCCAGCTCTATGAGACAAGAACTTTGTCTCATTTACCAATGTTTTCCCCAGCTCCCAAATCATGAGCCTCTAAGAAACAGTTATTTAAGTTCAGGCAAAAAAAAAAAAGCTTCTAATTCTTTTCATAAATAGTTATCTGAGATATAAAACAGTGAAAACCAAATGACACATATCCATTAGACAGATCCAGGATTTAAGGAAATCAAACTGTTTTCAAGAAAGAATTTAGGTTACAATCGCAAAGATAACAATACTCTGTTAAATCATTCCCGAAGCTGCTCCCAGTACTCCCTAGTGCCTCCTGTATCATCATTACAGCGTTGGTCAAAGTGAGATAAGCTAGTGACAAATTTTAGAAGCCATGTTTAACCTGTCTGTAGGACGGATGTTTGGATCTGTGATCTTTCTTATGCACAACTTACTGATAGTTATGGGTTGAACCGACATTAGAGGTGACTGAAATACCACTCCAGCGGATGTGATTTTTAAATACATAAAGAGCGTGCAGTTGAGTCTGGCCGCTGGCACAGACACGGGGCATTCACAACACTCAGGAACACTGCAGTTGCACCGCACAAGCTGAAAACTGCCTTTCGGGGGGACCGCCGGTGATTCTTCCAACACTTCTGGCCTGTATGAAAAAGAAGAGCTAAATATTAATATAGATGTAAAGGCACCGAATATACTTAAAATGTAGGACACAAAATCCGAATGGAAATAAGCTATTCTGGACACCCAGCTTAAAGGGAATCGGCAAAGCAATGCACTGTATCAGGGAAACAAAGATGAGTTAAAGCAGGTCAGCTCTCAGAAATAACAGAAGCAAGAGATAGTCAAGCAACAGAGAAGTACTAAAAGGAAAGAAAAATTGCTATCCTAAAACCCTATACCCAATTAAATATATTTTAAAGTAAACATGAAATAAAGGCTTTTTTTTTCTCAGATATACCTAAACTGAAAGGATTCATCACCATAAGACCTGCATTATAAAGCATGCTAAAGAAAGTCCTTTAGGCAAAAAGAAAATGAATGATGGCAGATGAAAGTGGTTCTACACACACATAAAAATAAAATTTAAGAGGGTAAATATTCACTGACTATCTAAAGCAAAAATACTTACCATGTTTTGTGGGGTTATATCACAAGTAGAAGTAAAATGTATGACATTAGCACTAAGCTTGGGGAGATATGTTAGTATGCAGTCAAGTGGTGTAATATCACTTGGAGGTGTAATATCAGGCTACAATAGGTTAAGGACCTATATTATAAATCCTAAAGCAACCACTAAAATAATTTTTAAAAAAAGAAGTTATAGCTAATAAGCTGCAATAATAGAGTCAATGGAGTATTAGTGAAAAGATAGAAAAACAGGTTACTGGAACAGAATAGAGACCAACATCTATATGGATGACAATTTTCTACAAAGGTAAAAAAGCAGTTCTGTGGAGAAAGGATTGTAATCTTTTCAATGAATTGTGCTGGGACAATGTCATATCTATATTCTGGTTGGGGGGAAGGAACCCTTCAATTCATACCTCACACCAGATTCAAAAGTTAATTCAAAATGGATCACTAATTCAAATGTAAAACCTAAAGCAATGAAACTTAGAATAGAACATGGGGGGAAAACTGGGGGACCTTTGGTTAGGTAAAAATTTGTCAGCTTCAACACCAAAAACATGATCCATAAAGAACATATTGATAAACTAGACTCCTATCAAGATTGAAAACCTCAGTTCTTCAAGACACTATGAAAAAATTTTAAAAAGACAAGCCACAGATGAGGGAATATATTTGTCAATCATCTACCTGATAAAGCACTCGTATCCAGAAGATATAAAGAATGCTCAAAATTCAATAATACTAAAACTAACAATCCAATTAAAAAACAGGCAAAGATGTCAATAGTCACTTCACCATAGAAGATAAAAGAATGAAAATAAGTCCCTGAAAAGAAGCCCAATGTCATTAGTCATTCAGGAAACGCACATTAAAACCACAATAAGATACCACTATCCACGTATTAGAATGGCTAAAATTAAAAAGATTAGTCATACCAAGCACTGAACAAGGACATTGGTGAATGAGAATTATAATACAATGCTTTGCCTATCACTGTAAACCTAGTAATGAGTGGGTTAACCTTAAAAGATTAATTGTAATTAGTAGGGTAAGGTTACCTAACTCAAGGTATAAAGAACAATAGTATGCAACTGAGACACAGAGAGTTATTTCTGATTTATTAGTGTTTTTTATTTAAACTGCTTGGTCCCCTAGTGTAAACCTTGTTGTAAATGAGATTTAGAGTGAGAGTGTTGACTGGGGGTGGGGGGTACCAAGGCCCCACATACCTCTATCTTGCTTGAGCTTCCCCCATTCGGTCCACTAACACCAGCTGCCTTCTATCCAAACCACTCCATACTTTTTTAAAAACTTGGGAATAGGAAGGGAGTAATAATATTTGGGCATGATCATTGCCTTCAGAAATGTTGCAGTCCTTTTGGAGGTAAAAACTGTAGTTGATAAATATACCAATTAAAAATTCAGTGTGGCCTGGCCGGGTGTCACTCAGCAGTTGAGCGTCGACCTAGGATCCAGGCGATCGGGGTTCGATTCCTGGTCAGGGCACATGCCCGGGTTGTAGGCTCGATCAATGACTCTCTCATCATTGATGTTTCTATCTCTCTGTCCCTTTCCCTTCCTCTCTCTGAAATCAATAAAGATATATATATTTTTAAAAATTCAGAGGAAGGATTGCTTTAGAAATTGTGCTAACTAGCATATACATGAGCATTCAGATATAAACACAACATGAAAGAAATGGACCCTAGTCTTTCCACACACATTCCACCAGTACTAAATGTTTTGAATTATGATAACTTTTCATAATTTATCATAAACATTAGTATTAATTTAGTCCTAAAAAAATCAATCAGGAAACAATATGCATAGACTTATTAATGTGCAAAGCAGTCTACTGGGCATTGTGTGAGGAATAATATTGTTGTAAAAAGCACACTAAATTAATACTTCTGTTTGTTTATGAGCCATAGACCATAGATATGTGAGGGCATTTTGGGAGCCCTGTTTACTTAATCAGTAAAACAGAGAAAATGTCTGCAACATCTAACTTTACAAGGTTGTTGTAAACATCAAAGACAATTCCATAAAAGTATCTTTGAAAATGTGAAGTGCTATGCACCCATAAAATACTGTTTTTAATCAGATGTGGATTACTTAGCACTTTCGATTTTATGTAAATTGTTAAACAAAATAAAATGTAATTTTAAAAAATATTATGCCATGCCTTTTACGTGTTTTTCAAATGTTACAAAATAAAAGCTTTTATCAAAAGGATATGGAACAAATTGAATAAATTGTGTTTTGTGTCAGGAGCTTTAACTGAAGAACTCACAAATTTCAAGGCAAAAGCAGAACTGAACAGAAAACAAGACATATATTCTTGACTAATATTTTTATTTTTATTTTTTTAAAGGCTAAAAAATTCTAATGATACTTTTCTTTTTAAAACAAACAAAAATGTTAGAATTACACTCCCTTGACTTAGATGGTCTTGCCAATGCCATCCTTTTCTAAATACAGTGGATATTTGTAGAATAGGGCTGATTACCAATTAGATTAACTCTTTGGTTTCTCTAACGCTTCACTGTTGTGTTCTACCTAATCAATCTTCATTTTCTTTAAAATTGAAATATACACAGAGAAGCTAAAAATATATAGCAAATATTTATAGTAACTATATGTAATGATTTTATATAATATATAATATATATTACAGTAATTCATAATTTGTTTTTTCTTACCATCATCTCTATTCACAATTTTCCCAAACCACCCCATCAGATAACCCTATCATGAAACTCTAAGAATCAATCTAAAATGAATTTTCGAATGTTCTCAGCAGGAGTCAGGAAACTACAGCCCACAAGCCAAATACACCTGTTTTTGAACAGCCTGTGAGCTAAGAATGGTTTCTTACATTTTCAAATGTTTTTTAAAAAGAAAAAAGAAAGGAAGACTGTTCTATGATATGTGGAAATCATATGAAATTCAAATGTTGGTGTCTATAAACAGCCATGTTCATTTGTTTACACATTCACTGTGGCTACAAGGTTATAACAAAGACAGTACGGCCTGCAAAATCTAAAATACTGACTACCTAGCCCTTTAAGAAAAAAAATTTTGATCCCACCTGTAGGCCAAAAACACTTTGTACTCCTTACTGGTGGGTACTGGGTGTGCAGAGGACACAAAAACCGAGAAACCACATTAAATATATCATCAAATTTCATCATATAACGTATTTACAATTTGCACGAAACACCCTGAGGATCAGTATCTACTGCAACTTTTCAAGCCACCTTGTTAGTGAACTTGTATCACCTACTTTATGGTAAGAAACCGAGGCTCAGTGAGAAGGTAGAGAAGGTAGGCCTGGAACTCGAGTGAAGTCTTAGGCTTCCATCTTCAGGGCTCATTTCATTACACCCTAGATGCCTTAATTAGTACAAGATAAATTTCTCTGTTGCCACTGTCATTTTATTTAGAGGATTAATAAAGACGTTAGGAGCCACAACTACAGAATCCTTAATCTGAGTTATGCTAATATTTCTAAAAATCAGAACATTAGAGACTTCTGTAATTATCTCAAATTCTTTTTCCCTTGAGGAAAATATTAGATATTTCTCATATTTAAGAGCAGAAATTTTTCCAAGTTTGTGTGAAACCTGGACTACACCAGCTTTGTTACTTGCCAAAGTCAGCACAAGAACTCCTTTTGCCTTCAAAAAGACTTTTAAAAGTTTTAAGCATTTATGAACATCAAAATATACTCTAAAAATGTGATAATTTTAAACTATAAGGATTAAAATGATGATGAATATTTTTAAATAAAGAAGAAATACATTGGCTTAAAATAATCAAAACTTAAGAATTACCAGCCCTTGCCGGGTGGCTGGGTTGGTTGGAACGTTGTCCCATACACCAAAAGGTTGCGGGTTCAATCCCTGGTCAGGGCACATACAGGAGGCAACAGAAGGGGGAAAAATTACAAAAGAATTACTGAAATTCTTGAAATATTTTTATGCAGCAAAATATTTTATGCCTTGCCAGCACATGCACATACACACACACACACACACACACACACACACACACA